AAATCACCAAGTGGTCGTCGGCGGGTTCCAGCGCACGGTTCAGCAATTCCATGGGTGATGATGGCCATATAGAAGAACCCTTGTCTCGTCCCGACTCGTTCCCTACAGTTTGGTTCTTCCGATTTGTTGAGCAAAGGGGATGGTAGTGTGTTTCGGAGATGAATTCACTCGCAAGTTGTCGCAGCAGGCCAGTATCGCGATTATTTAAGCATGCGCGCCGAAAAAATGCAGCATGCGATGAAGGTATCAGAGAAGGCTATATTGGCGACCCCTCGGCTGATGCAGCAGAAAGTACGATTGCCACCTTCCGTCGTACCTTCTGACTGGTGTCCAGCTCAGAACTTCCACGGGCGACAAAAGCCTCCGCTCGAAGCCTTTTCCGCGATGGTTACACGAACAAGCAGATCACTTCAGAGTTATAGGTACGATCCGGTCTCAGCGAGAATATGTCATCAAAGACATCACCAGCTTCGCGCTGACTGGAAAATCGATTCGCCTGTGCGCAGCGGTTTCGCAGTCATTCAGAACGAGAAGAGCGGTGATGCTTACAAGCTATATTGCGTGCAGAAGCCCAACACTGTGCACGAAGACCCTCGCGTGATTGCCTTCTCTTGCCACTTCGATGCCTTGGGCTTCCAATTTAAGCAGCATGCCATCATAGACCGGGCGCTGGCAGGGTCGAGTGTTCGACCTCAGTCCACCTGCTAATCCTTCTACTGACCCCATCGGAGTCTGGGTGGCTCTCTTCTGCGGGCAGGCCTCTTCGCCGAGACACAATTCCTTCTGGGGGAGCGTCGGGAGCGTCGCAGATCATCCCTTTCAGTCTGGAGAAACCGCCATCTCCTGTCACTTGGCATGTTCGCGGTCTGTTCGCTAGCGCACCCAGCTCGAGAAGCAGACCTTTCACCAGGTGGGAACTCCTTAGTGGGCTCACCGGGAGTTATTCCATCGTGGGCGCCCAGGAGCTCCATGGACACTCTGGCGATGTAGTGGCTTGCGGACGAAATCCCCCTCTCACTCATGCTTCCTCAAGCTGCATCCTGATAATGTTCCTGGGCATGGGGCCCTGGCTTGCATTCAGGAGAATCTCTCTGTGCTTCATTGTTTCACTCAGAGGGTGCTGTTTCCTGGGAAAACTGCCTTTGTTCTCGGGCGGGGAGGGGCGCGGGCCGCTGAGCACCATGGCCGCGCACCTTCCGCGCGCAGATGCCGGCGTCGGAAACGACCGCCACTGCCACTCTTGGGCGCCTTTTGCTATCGCGCCAGCCGCTACCGCCGTCCACATCCTCCTCGGCGATTTGAAGTCGCTTCTCTGCGATGATGGTCGGTTCAGCTTAGGTCAGGGCACCACTTCCAGGCGTGGCGCGGCGTTCCCCGGCGAGTAGGTCGCGCTCGGGGAAATTTGTTCAGCCCCAGGAAACTCGCCGCGACTGCCCGGGGCTCAAAGGTCGTCTCAACGGCTCGTCTGGATCGCGCGCGCGGGCGCCCACCCTTCTGCGCCGATAGACTTCGCCGCGCCACGCTGGGCGCGCCGGCAAACCTCGGGAGCCCGTCAGACCACGCGCCCGCAATGGTCCGAAGCCTGGCACAAGCGAAGGCCAATCCCGTGTTGGATCCCACGCCCCATCGGAGGTCAGCGAGTCGCTCGCGGGAAGGTTGGAGGAGATCGCCTCCTCCTCCTCCTCCTCCCTCCTCCTCCTCCTCCTCCTCCTCCCTCCTCCTCCTCCTCCTCCTCCTCCTCCTCCTCCTCCTCCTCCTCCGACCCCGGGGACCCCGATGGCCCCCCAGCTAGCATGAGCCAAGGTGACGACGCGCAAGGCCCATGCTGAGTTTCTGAGCTTGACGCGGCGCTTCTCTGCCAAGTCTGCCTAAGCACCTGCAGCGGGCCATTGCCGCCTCCGCGCCGGCAAGTTCCACGTCGTTGTCCGCGCTGCCGGAGCCGACCCCCGTCTCGCCGCCCCCCTCGAAATCGGCGCTGATTTTCTCTTAGACCCGCGGCGACTGCGCGCTTGCTCCGCCGAGCAATCAGTTGCTCGACGCGGAGGAGGGGGAGGAAGAGGAGGAGGAAGAGGAGGAGGAGGAGGAGGAAAAGGAGGAGGAGGAGAAGGAGGAGGAGGAGGAGGAGGAAGAGGAGGAGGAGGAGGGGGGGATGGGGGGGGGCGCTGCAGCGGGCCAGCGAGCTCTCCGCGCGCGAGATTGCGCGCAAACGCGCACGCATTACGCCCAGGGACATTCGGGCGAAAGACACAGGTGCCCCATGCACGTTAGCGCGGCATGCAGGGGCTGATTTGGCGCGCCACTGGGGAGGGGCTTTCGAGTTGAAACGGATTGGCCGCTCTCTGCGGGCCACTCTCTGCCCGCATGTCCAGATGATCATTGCTCAGTTGATGTCTGCCGACGTGGTCACCTATCTGCCCCCGATGGCTCGCAAGCTCGCTCGCCTCTCTGGGCCTGGGTCTGGAGCTGCACTGCGGGGCGCGCATCGCCCCCGTCTGCGGGGAGGCTGATCCTGATCGGTGTCGAGGGCATCTGGCAACGGGGGGGAGTGGCTGCGAGAAATGTCCAGTTGTTCGTCGGCGTTGGCACCTCGGCGTTGTCGGCCCCGATGGGCATCCCCCTCTCGCTGCGCAGCACGATAAGTGCGCCCAGTGAGGGCGCGGGGCTTGCTTGGTGCGGGCGGGCCTGGCTGCGCCCATCGTCGCCCGCAACGCTCGCGTTGTTTCGGTGCCCAGTTACGCTCTTCAGTCTCACGAACAGGCCGCGCGTCTCCCTCGGCTCGAGGATTGCGCTCTTCAGATCATGCATGCCGGCCCTCGCCATAGCTTCAGCGGCCCCGCGATGCGCGCCCTTATCGACTCAGGCTGCAACGCCCAATGTCTGCTCGCCAAGCACGTCGCGCAGGCTTCGGCGTTTCGGACCTCGAGCGCACGGCGAGAGTGCCAGAACCTGGATCTGCGCGAGCAGTCGCGGGACCCCATTCTTTTCCGGTTGCAGCGCGGGCGGCATACGCACTTGTTCCTCCTCTGCTTGGGAGCGGCCAACTCTGCCCTTGCCCTTCGCGTTCGTACAATTTGCCCTGCGGGCCCCGGCGCTGCGACTCAGGTTCAGATTGCCCAGGTTATCCTCGCTCTCCCGTTCGATGTTTGGTTCCGCGTTTTCAAGATGCGGATGCAGAGGTGTTGCACTGTTGTTTAGATGCGTTTAGCAGATGTGTCGCACTGTGGTTTAGATGCGTTTAGCAGCGGCTGTCCCCCGAGTTCACCGGAGGGGCATGCGGACGACCGCCTCGGCCGCACGCCCACCCGGAACGCCGTGAGTTCGGTCGCGGGGACGGCCGCGCTGATCAGTCCCATGGATTGCATGGCCCAGTGGTCTCGGGGTCGTTCTTCCCCGGGCTTCGCCCGCTCTTTCCGCTCGGCATCGCCAGCCCGTTCCCAGTCCGCTCGGCGTCGCCTGTCCGCGCACGCCGGCCGCATGCGTCGCGCGCACTCATTCGCCTTTTCGTCTCCAGCCCCATGCCACTCCGACCTTGCAGCAGGTCTTTCAGGGCCGCCTCCGCTCGTTAGTGCAGCGCCACCCACGGATCCGCGCGGCGTTTTTTTTGCCCACCACCCTCCTGGACAGCGATTTGTTCCCAGGTGCTTCGAGGCTCGCAGGCGAGGATCTGTTCGTCCGCCCAAAACCTGGCACAGCTGCCCTTGCGCGCGCGAGGCCTTGACAAATTCGAGCGTCATGCTCTGCGTTTGCGTTGGGTCTGCGTTTTTGCGTTTGCCCGCGCGCCCCTGCAGCTGCCGACGCTGTCGTCGTCGCTGGCGATGTCGCTGTGCCCCCTTTCCTGCGCGTCTTTCCTGCCGCTGCTCCGCTGCGCCGCTTCCGCTGCTGCTTGCGGCGGATAGGCTGCCCCTCGCCGCGGCTCCTTGGTCTGCTGGCCCGATGCGCCCTGGGGTGCGACGGCACCGAAGTGCAACGATGAGCCCGTCTTGGCCACCCACCCCCAGCCCCCACCCCCACCCCATCTTCCTCGATCCGCCGGCGCCGAAGGCAGCGCGCGCGCATCGGACGCGCCGGCCCGCCCAGCCTCTCTTGCCTGCTCTCTCTCTCTCTCTCTCTCTCTCTTGCGGGAGGGCGCCTCCTCTTCTCCTCCTCCTCCTCCTCCTCCTCCTGCGGCCCGCCGCCGCCCGCCCATCCAGCCGGACAGGCGCGCGGGCCGGGCGCTGCCGCCGGCCTCGCCCTCTCGGGGCGGCCGCGGCGTGCGTCCGGCGCCCCGCGGGTCGAGCTCAGACCCCATCGCCGCCGCACGCTCCGCCGTCGCCACCTCGTCTGGCGCGCAGTGGGCGCGACTGGGCCGTGGCCGCACGCATCGGCTCGCCGCTCTTTCGTTTGCCCTCGCCCGCGCGCGAGGCCCTGACAGGTTCGAGCGCACCTCCGCCCGCGGAAGTTCAGCCGCCGCCATCTCTGTGACTCGCCGAGTGTCTCGGGCCGCGAGCTTGGTGCACAGGCTCATCGCGCTTGATCGTCTCCTCCTCCTCCCATCTTATCTGCTTGCCCATTTGCCCTGGCGCCCACGTTGCAAAGGCCGAGATGGCAAGGCCTCTTTGCGCCCGAAGCCGCGCACTCTCTAACGCTATGGGTTCGGACGTTCAGCGATTGTCACCTTTTGCATTGCCATCGGCCCCATGGGAAATTAATAACATCATCACCACCAACAACAACACCCTCATCATCGTCATCACAAATCTCATCCTCATCACGCTCATCCTCCTCCTCGGATCCTCCCTCCTCAGCCCCCACCCCCCCTCCCTCCTTCACTCCATCCCTCCTCCGAGGAGGGTCATGGGAGGAGGATCAAGATCACGAGAAGGAGGGCGAGGGACGAGTGACGAGGAACAAGGAACGAGGAACGAGGAGGAGGAGGAGGAGGAGGAGGAGGAGGAACGAGGAACGAGGATCCAGGTCCGACGAGGATTCCAGGATCGAGGGGGAGCGCGGGGCGCGTCGAGGCCGCCGACGAGAGATCCCTCGAGGCGCTGGCGGCCGAGTTCCGCGCGGACCTCGCCGAGGCCATGGACCAGGGCAGATCGATCCCGTGCAGGTCGCGGCGCGGCTGGTGGCCTGGACGCTCCACCCCCGTCTGTTCGTTATTATGCTCGTTGTTGATAGCATTACCCGTAGTAGTAGTAGTAGTAGTAGTAGTAGTAGTAGTAGTAGTAGTAGTAGTAGTAGTAGTAGTAGTAGTAGTAGTAGTAGTAGTAGTAGTAGTAGTAGTAGTA